AGAAAATGTTTTGAGAATGATGATGGCAACAAATGTACAAATGTGCTTGACACAATGGATGGATGGATGGATTGTGATGAGCGTTGTATGAGCGTTGTATGAGCCCCCCCTAAAATGATTTTTAAAAGAAAAAAAACCCTTGTCCCCTCAGAACTGATGGCTGTGACCTTATTGAGAAGAAGGATCTTTGCAGATGTCAAGTTAAATGAGCCCTCATCCAAAGACTGATTCCCTTAGAAGACGGAGGGAAATACAATAGGAGCCCACAGGAGAGAAGTCCCTGTGAAGATGGGGGCGGAGACTGGAGGGCGCAATCCACACGTCCAGGAACACCAAGGTCGGCTGGCAGCGGCCAGGGCCCGGAAGAGGCCAGGGAGGATTCCTCCTTAGGGCCTCAGAGGGAGCAGGGCCCTGCACATACCTTGATTTTGGTCTTTTGACTTCCAGACTGGGAGAGAATTGAATTTCAGTGGTTTTAAGCCAACCAAGTTCATAGTGGGACCCCTGCTGGTGTAGTGGTGACGTGTTGGGCTGCTAACCACAAGGTCAGCAGTTCAAATCCACCAGCCCCTCCTCAGGAGAGGGAGCTTTTTACTCCAGGAAAGAGTGACAGTCTCAGCAACTCACAGGGGCTGTTCTAGCCTGTCCGATAGGGTCACTATGAGTCAGCATCGATGGCGGTGAATTTGGTCTTGGAGGTTTAGCCTATGTTTTTACAGTGGCACGAGGAATCTAATCCTATGAACTAAATACCATCACCACAGTCCTGCCTCCAAACGGCTTTAATAAAGGATCCCATCCTGAGAAGGAGATCCCACTGATGATATTGTCACGTTATGAATTCAAATGCGAAACAGGCCGCGGGGAGCCTGTGCAGTTCGCAGGGCTTCTCTGGTTGTGAGGCCAACCTGTGAGGGGACGGCTGTGGTTCACAGAGAGCAGAAAGGCTTTCTTCTGAATCAGACCAGATGCTTTGAGAAGCCCTTTTGGAGATCTCTGGGGGCTTTGAAAATTCATGGGGGAAAAAATGCATTCAAACGATAATGGAATTTTCCAGAAACGTTTTGAAGCCCCCTCGTACAAGCTGAGAAAAGTTCTGGCAAACCGCTTCCTTCCCTCTTTGAATAAGAGAATGGGGCTCCCGGGGGGCAGTGGTTAGAGCACTTGACTGCGAACAGAAAGGTCTGTGGTTCGAACTCACCGGCCCCTCGGAGGGAGAAGGATGGGCTGCCTGCTTCTGGGAAGAGGTGTAACGTGTGGAGCAGGTCTCCGTCCTACAGGGCTGCTGGGACTCAGAACCCACCTGACGGCCATGGGTTTTGAATGAAACCCAAATCCAAGCTTGCTGCCACTGCATCCCTCTGACTCTCAGCGAGCCCACAGGACAGAGTCGAACCACCCCTGGGAGTTTCTGAGACTGTCACTCTTGATGGGAACAGGCAGCCTCCTCTTTCTCTTGGAGTTTTAATGAAAGTTTCTTAAATGAGTATGTCTCTCCATAGCATTTGGCTGCCAAGAAACTGGGTTTCATTTGAGGATCAACTCTAGCAATTACATGGCCCAGCGTCTTTGCCTTCGGGGTCCCTCTCTGCCTATCCCCACACTCCAACCCAATTCGGCTTTCTGCTCTATAATCTCATGTTTTCAAAAGTCTTATTTAACTTCTGTCTTAAATACGTTCAAATAAACAGGTTAAATATTTATTTAAAAAAAAACACAAAACATTTTCAAGGCCACTTGTGGTCACACAGACTTCTGAGGGCCAACTGGCCATATATGAATCTTGGATCTGCTACGTTCTAATGATGGTCCTCTACATGTGAACTGTTGCCTCGCTTGTGGGAGAAGAAGAAGACTACCTGCCTACCTGTCATGGATCACAATCTGTCACCCCCAAATCTGTAACAAACTGGACCCTAGGACGGTATATGTGATCCCATTTGGGAAAAGCAGTTTCCTTATTTAGGTAGATGAGGTCATAACCAAGTAGAGTGACTTCTAAAATCAATCACTTCTGACTGATAAAGAGAGCAGATGAGACCCAGAAATACAGACAGAAGGACAGCAAGACACTCTGTGAGGGTCTGTCCACAAATAAAAGAACACCCAGGATCGCTGACTGGCCCTAGAAATGAGGAGGACCCTGATTTAGACTTTTAGCCTCTAGAAAGGCAAGAAAACACATTTCTATTTTTCAAAATCACCCACTGGTGGTATTGTAGTTATAGCAACCTTAGGTAACTAGAACACTCGCTCGCTCGCCGTGTTCCTACGAGCCTGAACGGAATCAATACCTGGGTAGGGCTTTGAACAGAACCAGCACAGAGCAGTGCTCAGAAAGCTTGCGCCAGGATGGCAGCCTTCCATATAGATCGCAATTCAGTGTAAAGAAGACCTAATCCTCACAACTGCACTGATAGGTCACATCATGATCAATGGAGAAAAGGTGACGTTGTCCAGGATTGTGTCTTTTTTGGACCCACAATCAATGCTCATGGAAACAGCTGTCAAGAGATCAAAAGACAAGTTACACTAGGTAAATCTGCTGCACAAGACCTCTTCAGAGTATTGAAGAGCAAGGGCGTTACTTTTTAAAAAAAATAGTTTTATTAGGGGCTCATACAACTATTATCACAACTATTATACATACATCAATTGTGTAAAGCACATTTGTACATTCATTGCCCTCATCATTCTCAAAACATTTGCTCTCCACTTAAGCCCCTGGCATCAGGTCCTCATTTTTCCCCTCCCTCCCCACTCGCCGCTCCCTCATGAGCCCTTGATAATTTATAAATTATTATTTTGTCATATCTTGCCCTGTCCAACATCTCCCTTCACCCACTTTTCTGTTGTCCGTCCCCCAGGGAGGTCACATGTAGATCCTTGTAAACGGTTCGGTCACATGTAGATCCTTGTAAACGATTCCCCCTTCCCAACCCACTCTCCCTCTATGCTCCCAGTTTCACCACTCACACAACTGGTCCTAAAGGGATTATTCACCCTGGAATCCCTGTGTTTCCAGTCCTATCTGTACAATTGTACATCCTCTGGTCTAGCCAGACTTGCAAGGTAGAATTCGGATCATGATAGTGTGTGTGTGTGTGTGTGTGTGTGTGTGTGTGTGTGTGTGAGCTTTTAGAAACTAGAGGAAAGTTGTATTTGTCATCATTGCTACATTGCACCCTGACTGGGTCGTCTCCTCCCCGAGACCCCTCTGCCAGGGAAGGGCGTTACTTTGAGGACTAACGTGCGCCTGACCCGAGCCACGGTACTGTCAGTTGACTCATATGCATGTCAACGTGGGACAATGAATAAAGAAGGCCGGAGAAGAATCCATGCATTTGGATGCTGATGCTGACGAAGAAGTGAAAGTGCCAGGACTGCTCAGAGGACAAAGCCATCTGCCTTGCAAGAAGCACAGCCCCAGTGCTCCTTCGAGGCAAGGTGGGCGAGACTCCGTCTCACACACTTTGGACATATTGTCCAGAGAGACCAGTCCCTGGCGAAGGACATCATGCTTGGTGTGGTAGTTACACCATTTCATGTCAACTTGATAAATAAGAATGAAGGGATTTGAGTCCAGCCTGTCGGTCAGGTCACAGCCTGATCCCTCCTTGTGGGTGTGACCTTCTCATGAGGATTCTGGGAACTCTCTCTCAGCTTCACATTCCTGATGACAAGCCACACAGAGTCACACTGATGGCAGCCAGAGTCCTGGGGATGCTTCTATCACCACTGGATCCACAAGATGTTTCAAACACAGGGCTGTGATCTTCCTGCATTCGGCATCATTGCATGTGTTGCGTGAATCCGAAGAGGGATCTATAGACTAGTATTGGACATATGGGCTAATATCAGACTTAGGGACTTGATCTGGACTGGGCTGGGCTGTTTTCTTAATATACAAGTACTCTTTGATGTAAACCTCTCTCGTACACACATATGAGTGTCTCTGAATTTGTTTCTCTAGTCTACCTGGACTAACACACTTGGTAAAGCAAAGGGGCAGTGAAAAAAAGGTAGGTCCTCACAAGGAGATGGATGGACACAGTGGCTACAACAATGGGCTCAAACATAGGATCAATTGTGAGGATGGCGCAGGACCGTGCAGTGTTCCTTCTATTGTGGCAAGGTCACTGTGGATCGGAACTGACTCGATGGCACCTGACCACAACAGCGACAGGAGTGTACTCTCGTTCTCAACTGTTGCCAGTTAGAAGGAAAACAGATGCCTACAACAAGCAGAAACAGAAAAATCACAGTGGAAGTCAAAGGAACCCAATTTTTCTAGTGTGTAGGTCAATCACTGTTTCAATAGCGGGCCAGAGAGAAAATATGGGAGGCCATACAGTCTTTGTCGCCACTACTCAATGTTGGCTATTACCGTGAAAAAGTAGCTATGGGCAAAAGTGAATGAACAGGGGTAATAACACTGGATTTACAGAAACAGGCTGTGGACCAGGTGAGTCGATGGGGGCTGCTGTGTGAGCCGTTTTTCTAGAGCCATCAGCCCATCTTACAAGCTCCTTCAACGCCTCACCGAAGCTCCCAAAGTGTGCTGATCTTCCCCAACTCAGGGTATCAACAGCTTTTACACCATGGCACACTCCCCATTAATTAGATGAAATAAAATTGTGGGTGGAAGGTCATCTATCCAAGCCAACTTATTTTTCATCTTGGATATTATCAACAGGTGTGGTGGCTTTGTTTATTTTAGGTGTGGTCCTGGTGCACACGGTGGTGAACCTCCAAACATGCCAAGTATCACCGAGAGCACTGGTTTGACCAATCTCTTTAGAAGAGAACCACTTGCATCCCTAGTTGAGCCAGAAGGATGACTAGAGGCTTGGCCTGGCTTCCTGCGGGCACTTCCGGCTGGTAGACTGACTCCCTAACGTGTAACCCGTACAGACTGTAGATGGGCAGCACCGAGCCACACCATCTGTGAGCAGCGACCCAGCCCCTCTCGCGGACATATCTTCCTTCATGGGGGAGACTCCGAATCGACAGCTGGGCAGCTCAGCGTGACTTCGTTGACCCTACATCTGAAGGGCGGAGGTGGTCATGCTGCTCTGTCCATCCTGCTGTCCCCAGCGCGGCTCACGGCCTCGGGAATTTGCACCACCCTGCGGTTCCCAGAATGCAGCCTGTTGGATGCAACTCTAAGCTTTTCAGTGGGACCCTGGATGGAGGGCAAACAGTTTGCTCACAACTTCCTAACTGAAAAAGTTGGTCGCTTAGACTCACCCAAGGGTGCCGTGGAAGAACTAGCGGGTGGGCTACTTCTATGCAGACGACTGCCAGGAAAACCTTAGGGGGCAGCTCGACTCTTGTAACACTAGGGGTCAGCGTGAGGCAGGATCCACTGGACCGCAAAGGGTTTGGGGTTGGGTTCTTGTCCATGAGAGCATCCTTGGTAAACACCCAATAAACATGGCTCTACCTTGAGTCTGTTCACAGAATTAGGACAGCTCCACCCAAATCACTGAAGGTGAAGCCCGGCTTTTCACACTGGACCCACAGACACCGGTCCTTTGCTGGGCACAGAGGACACGCAAGAGGAAGGAGAGCGGGGGCGGGGTGGGACCGAAACAAAACAGGAGCTGTGACCCTAGTTCACAGCATCCCTTTCCACACCCGTGTGGACTGGTCGCCTTCCAGCGCAGATGCCCCGCAGCCACAGGCAATGGGGCCCAAGAAAAGGAAAGGATGGAACGAGTGGCCCTAGAGAGGGAACAATCATCATTCTACCACCTGGCAGCTGGGGGAACTAGGTCAGCTCACTTACCCTCTCGGATCGTCTTCAGCTAAAAGGAGAGGGTTGTCCAGAGGATGGACTAGAATTGCAGACATTCCGTACAGACCTGGCACAGAGCAGGCGCTCGACACTAGCCATGCTTCTCCAAAAGGCACTTGAAATAAAGCCACCATCTCTACCATTACTTCTGAATGAAAAAGCCTCTTGAGGCTCATCCACGGGGCTCCTACCTCATAAGTATTTTTGGAGAATGAAACGTCTTCCCGCTGCCCCTGGTTACCTGCACTGCTATGATCGGTCCTCCATTCTGATAGAGGAGAGGTTTCATCTTGGGCAGAAGGACGCCCAGCCACTTGTCCACCGCCGCGAGGTAGTCTGGGGAACAAGACAGGTTGAACAACATTACACCAATGAAGTTTCCCTACACCGGCTGGCAGCACAGATGGGGATATGCTCAGATTCAACGGCTTCCTTCTAAAGTGGGGCAACCCCACGCAATGAAAGAGATCAGAACTGTCTGGCCAGGTAGTTGTCCCCACAACTAAACTCCTCAGTGGACAAAGACCCATACAGCAGGCCTCTGCCCTGGCAACCAGGACACAAAGCCCGGCGCACAGGACACACCCATGAGCACTTGTCAGAGGCATGAAAGAGCAGCTGGTGGGTGTTTCCATCTTTCAACCATTGTAGGGCTTTTAAAAAAATTTAATTCTAGTTAGAGCTATATTTAGACATCTACTTAATCTATAAATGAGAATAATAAAAGTACACATTTATGAGGCTGCTGCAAGGATTAGGGGCAATAAGACATTCCAAAAAACCCAATTACAGCATGAAGAGGGCAAAACGCGAGGGCAATCTACTACGAGTGAAATACTCACAGAGTGTGATATGCTAGCCTTCCCCACAGTACACTTTGTAAACGTTGCTGGGGTTATGATAGATCATCTTCACCACCAGCCATCACCTCCACCAACACCATCAACGGCAAGCTACACGGAAGCCTTCTAAAGACAGACGTGCAGCGAGGGCCCCTCTGATCAGTCAGGGTTGACAGTGAAATCAAGAAAGAACGATCGTTCTCATATTGCACTATAAAAATAAAGAAAGACCCAGAGGCCACTGGACCACAGAGCACTGCGGTGGGGCACCGTCGGCCGTGTTGATAGTGGGGTGTTATGACTGAGAGCGCAGAAGAGAAAGCAGCCAAGTCAGTAGGTCAACCGCAAACAGGGCTCAATGTCACTCTGACAGCCGTTTATCAGCAAGATCTGGTCCAAAGAGTTCAGGTTGCCTCACTTCCGACTCACTCAAAGTCTAGTGCACACAACGGAGGATGACTAACGCAGACTTTCACTGGACGCCATCTGTTGGCACAGCGGTGTTTGCCAGCCTTCAAAAGCCCTGGCCCTTTTTGATACAAGTTGTCTGGGCTTTTCCCTCCATTCTCCCAGGACTTTGGTAACAACTTACCTGGGTCAGATGAACGAAGAACAATAGATTCTTTCTCCAACAGCCAAGCAGGTAGTCCCCCCTAGTGAGAAAAACAAACACTCAATCGGAAGTCGCTTTAAGGTCTATTTCATTTCAAGGTCTATTTCTCAATGGAGAGACAAATGACTGAGTGAGGGGGGAAAAAGAAAAAAGGCTTCCTGGTAAGGGGGTAGTTGAGCCGGACTTCCTGATGTATAATTTTCAAGGAACCTGTGAGCTATCATATCGTAAAAATGACATCAGTCCACATCAATATAATGTTAGCTAACCCTTTCACATAGACTTATCCCATTTAATTTCACAATTACTCTCTGACATGGACAGAGACACGAGTCCCTCCGTATTATAGATGAGGACATTGAGTGATGCTGGGAGATCGACCACCAGGGGGAGCCCAAGCCCTTAGGAAGGTCACTTTGTCCTCTGGAGGGGCTTTTGGGGAGGACTAGACTTATGGGTTGGAAGACACCAAAAATGGGCGCAAACGCGACACAACCAACCACCACGAAGATGGCACAGGACCGGGCAACGTTTTTGTACGCTGTATACAGCGTCACCCTGAGTTAGGGTCCTTGACTCCTCCACAACTAACAGTCACCCATCCTTAGGTCTTTCCCAAAGGTACAGTCGTCGGCTGCAGGTTATTAGGAATTAAGATTTTTCTCTAAACTACTGTTGCTCACTTCTTCCCGGATCTCCTGCCAGCCTACCCTTGCTCCCACACAGCACCCGGCAGAACCCAGTCGGGCACACTCACCATGTCCCACTCCGCACAGATGTAGGGTCCAGGTCTCAGGATGACCAGCAGCCCAAGCTCTTGAGCCAACTTAATAAAGTGTCCCACATCGTGGTCATCAGAGAACTGGTACTGTCCTGGCAGGGGCTCGTGAAAGTTCCAGGGCACGTACCTGCCAAGACACACGCACCCCTCCCTGGAACACTTGCAGAGGAAAGACGGAAAAACAGACGAGAAGGTCTTCTCGACACTGTTACTAATGCACTTACGGGGAGAGGGGAATGAAATATGAAAAGGACGCTGTAAATAAAAATGATCCCAAACTTGGCAATGGGTCAAAAAACATTTCCTTCCCACGCAGTATGGGATCATTAGCTGAGACTCTGACTCAAGGCTTAGTTCTTTCTCTGGGGGATATGATTTTGTTGGGCAGAGGATTTGTTATTGGTTAGGAGAAAGATTCCGTGAGGATATAGATTAACGTGCAGATTTTTTGCCGGTAAGAGATGCACAGTTATTGTCCAGAGAAGACAATCTCAAAATTACAGTCCACTGCCTGTTAGGACCTTAACCAGTTTTGTCTCTAAAACTAATGTTATTTAGAACCTGTTT